AAACTTAGGAAGAAATTCACAGCTCATCGTCAATGTTAAGCGTGCCCAAAGAAATCTGATTGCAAGACTGTCAGTTTCTGAAGAATGCGATAAATCATTCTGCAAAACTATTCATTCATTATATGTTTGAACTGTCTAACAAAAGTGATAAAAATATTTGTGAACAATATATATATATATATATATATATATATATATATATATATACATATATTTTAAGCATAATGCCAACTGAATTTGAATGCTCAGTAATAAAAGTTTTAGCTCTTTTCATTCAAAATTTTCCAATACAACCATGATTCAAATTATTCATTTTATTGTTATTAAAACATTTTTAAAAGAAAAATATCATTAACTATGTATTAAATGTTTCAAAATGGTGGAAAATAATTGAAATAATTCTTGCATTTAAACTTCTATTCCAAATTAAGATTTAATTTGAAATTAATGTAGATAATTACTGAGAGAATTAGATTTTGTAGCGTAGTTTACGTGAGATGAGATCACTTGGGGTCACGTGTATTGAACCAGCGAATCAGGATATTGTACGATGAAAGCATAGTAAATTCTTAAATTAATGTCTTTTTACAAATTTATTGTCTTTATTTATTGGCTTTTTTACAAAATTTTAAACGACAATAAAATACCTTCAAAATAAAAAATTCTTAGAACTAACATTTGTCAACATTTTTTATGTGTATACAATGTGTTTTCGACAATAAAGTCTGCATGGCGAGATTTGCGCCGACGAAACGGAAAAGTACCTTTTTTTTCTTTGAAAATTGACATTAAAATAAATCATACATAATTGCTTAAAAAGTATTAAATAACACATTTAGATATAATTTTTTGCCTAAATCTTACTGTGTGGCTAGCATAAAAATACGGGTCAAAATGACCAAGTGAATGTGGTAATGGCATAGAAAAGGGTGCGTGTGCCTGAAGGGTTAAAAGACATTGCTTACTACTCCCCCGAATGTTGTATTCATGGAATGGTAGTAGTTCTTATTGTCAGCCATGATTACACCTCAGAAAAGTGGTGAGTTACTATTCAGTAGTGTTCCCATTAGAAGTTCTTTGTTGCTACGACATGAGAGCACTTGAGATTCCAGTAAGTTCCAATAAGTTGAATGCCAGTGCCATATCAGTATGGTACCAATGCCATGGTAATAAGTTGAATGCCATATCAGTAACAATTTAAAAATTTTTTACAGATCTTTCAGTGTGATGGCAAAGTAATCTTGTATCTGTTTTGATTAATTATCCATATACTGGCTTGAAATTTTCATCAGAACTTAACTTGAACAGTTACTCAAAAATCAGATATAATTAACCATCTTGAAATAAGATGAAAACGAGCAAAATTTAATGAGAGATTTTAACATTGGATTATCAAAAATTTATGATATTAAATATCAAAAAGAAAAATTAATTAAATTTCCCTCCTGTGCAACGACCAACAAAGTTTTTGATGAAGGAAAATTTTTTTGTTTTGAGGCAGTAGACAAAGTGCTGTATGAGTAGTTTATACTGAAACGAGAAGGAGGAGATCCTGTCAAAGGGCCAATGCTTAAAAAAGCAGATTTTTCTGAAAACTTAAATGTTGGAAAAGACTGCAAATTTTCAGATGGATGGCTAGCTGATTTCAAAAAACATCATAGAATTTGCTAAATGGATACATCCAGTGAAATACTTTGTTTATAAAAAAATAAATAAATAAATAAATAAATAGCTCATAAAAAGAAACAATACAGCACTAGAAAATATTTTTCATGCAGATGAAATAGGTCTGTCATTTTCATGTTTTCCGACTTCAATTTTAGAAGAAGCTAATGAAATATTTGCTTACGGTTTAAAAAAAAATTTGGCAATTTTATTTATGTGAATGCAACTGGATTATACAAGATAAAATTACTGGTGACTGGAAAATTCACATATCCTTGAGTACTGCCAGGTATCAAACATCTCCCTGTGGCATACAAACATCAAAAGAATGCTTGGATGGACAAGAATATTTTGCTTTACCAATTCAAAAGCATTTTTGTGAAAAGTTAAAATCTAAAAGAAAATCTGAAGACAGACAAGTTGTTTCAATGACTGATAACTGTCGAGTGCATCCTCGTGAACAGGAATTATGTTAGAACAAGATCAGAATTATGTATATTTCACCTTGCTTGTGTTGAATGAGAGTGACAGTGGGCGACAGCGTGCTTTTACTCTGTATCAAATAAAAGAATGTCTGGAACAACAAAAGGAAAATATGAAGAATCAAGATGGTAGAATGAGATATTTCACTTAGCCGCCGTCAGTCGGCGAAGAAAGATGAAATGAATAAAAATAGACCAGCACTGTGAAAAAAAAAGTTGGATCAGTAAGGTAGTAGGTACTTCAAATAATTAACAAAATGTTAGGTTAGAATAGCCGAAGGATATTTGTGTTTTGCTCTGGGAAAAGGTGAGCATCGCAAAGAGCTGATACAGCTGTTTGGATGTAATAGTACAGAAAGGGAAAAATTTGTTGCAAGTTTTTTTATATAATTTTGTATAGTATCAATTTGAAGATCTCTGTGAATATATGAATTTGGGATGAACCAGGGTGCATTAATAATTTCACAAAGGGTTTTATTTTGAATAACTTAGATCTTTTTTATTTCTGCCTATGAAAAGAAATTGATGTATAATTAATTTTTCATGAACATTTAAAACTGTTCTGAAAAATACTTTTGATGGTTGCATGTATAGATCACAGATTTTTTTTCTCTGCTAACATGAACAAAAGCCAATTTTACAAAGAAAAATTCTCGTTAAAGATATACATCCTTTGCCTGATAGTCCAATGTAATATTTGTTAAAGTTAAATGATGAAGCGTAACCAATGTATCTCAGATTTCCTTTTTTATATTATAATAACAAAATTATGGAAAAAAGAAGTTCATCTCAAAATCTAATTGTATTGAATCTCATTCTAATCATCTAATGGTAATAAATATTATTATTATTATTTCATTAAATTAGTCATTACCATTATTTTGTTAATAAAAATATGTTATTAAAAATCGCATTCCAACCTGCAGACTTACAAAGCTAGTTCGTATTTATTCTATCTTGTAAAATTTTGTTCTCGTTTTCTAATTTCTAATGCGAAAATGCGCGAATATAAATGAAGTGTGAAAACAAAGTTATAAAATTCACAAATTATTGCCGAGATTGATCAGAAATAGCGAGTGAAATATAAACATTGCATACATTTTGTTCTAAATCAATAGTGTACTGGATATACATAACTGCATTTAAATGAAAGCGAAATAATCATCGAAAAAAATCACAAATCTAGCAACCCACCTACTATGGCACAGCGTCTGACAAACGTGTAAATTTTACTGCATCCATGGAGGGGGATTAACGACTTTTCTCATTAGGAAAATGTCAAAGAGGGGGCAAAACTGTTTCCGATCACGCTGGTCTGAAGGCTATATTATGAGAATTTCGGCCCGGATTTAGAAAGATAACTTCATTACTAATGGTTGACCTCGCTATTTAACCTCTTCATTGTCCGTAATGCGTCTAGCGCGTTCAAGTGAAACTTCCACAGGGCGGCCGTAACACGGCTCAAGCACATTCATTGGACCGCCTGGATCAGATGTTATCAAATTATCCTGCTGTTAGAAATAAGCAGAGATATAATTTTTCCATTATGCTTTATTTCCTTATAATTTTACTTAATATTCATTGATACTCATCCACTACGAAAGCCATGTATGGAAAGTTATGATGTACAGAGAAAACAACATTACACGCCACGAAAAACAGACAGCCGCTGGGGGGAAATTTTCATGGACAGCGCGGCGAAAGGGTTAAAAATTGTTTGCATTTCTAGTAAATGTTCTTCAAACTCCAAGGTATTTTGCCCATACAGAAATTGTATACACGTTACATAAGAAAATAAGAATTATGTGAAAATAAATATGTACATGGAATATTATTATCAATGCTATAATGAAAGAACTTTAAAACATGGTAATTCATTTTTAGACGAAAACCACAAAAGCATAAGTTTATTACTGTTCTCTGTTCTTTAAAATAAGTATTTCGAGGTTCAACCAACCCTCTCTATAATCGTAATGTGTATCATCATTACCATACAGAAGGGATTAGGAAATTTTAATAAATTAGAAAACTCAAACTACCTTTCACAACATTTGCTACAACAGTTACAACCTTGAAGTGCTTTTCTAAAGTAACCAACATTAAAATAGGCATTTGACTAGTACTAGCATACTTGCCAACACACTACAAATAACGCAGTCCATACCTTTGCTTCCTAAAATATCGCAACAACCCCATAAGCTGTACTGAGCTTGTTGCAATTGCAAAATATTTTATATTGCAAAATACTTATTTCTTTGTCCACCAATGTTCCTTTTGAGGGGGGGGGGCTAAGGGAGAATAGGGATGGCCTTATCCCAGCATAAAGTTCTCATCAAAACATATGTTCAGCTCCTGTTATTTTTACCGTATTTTGCCCCATACGTTTCCTACATTTGCCAAATAAGTCAATCCATTATTCTGAGGCATGTGATATTTTGCCAAAAAAATCAGGTTCAAAAACTTATGCAATAAAACTGTACGAACAGAATATGTATATTGAAAATGCAATGTTAACTACTGCTGACAAAATGTCAGAATAAGAACTGAGAATTAGTACGAGAAAAGTCACTTGCCTTTTTATTCCACAGACAAGTTGGAGAAACAAGCTAGATAGACAAGTTGGAGAAAACAAAACTCCGTTTGAGGTGATTCTGAAAAAAACTACTAAACCATACTGATGAGAGAGAAATCAAAAAAACCTCATCACTCAGTTTGCTGATGTTGAAAATATATTTCATAGGAAAAAGGCATCACTAAAGTGTTGGCAGTGTATTGGCCAGTACCATCTAATATAAAAAATCACTTTTGAATAATGCAATTAGAACATTTAAAATAACCAAAAATAATATCTACCTGGGATTCCTTATTAGTTGCAGATGCTTCAAAGTTCTTTTCAAGTTTAGGAAAGGTACCGAAAGCATTTTTAAAGGTATTATCACAATCTTTATATTCTTTTCCCAAGCATTCAGACTGTTGACCATTATTTTCACCAATGAATGGAATTGAACTATCCTTTAACCAGTCATTTCCATTTTCAGTATGGTCAGAAATGTTTAAATTGCTATTTGTGAACTCCTCGGGTTCATTCCAATTATTTAACACACTTTTAGAGACAGCATCTAAACCAGGAGGTATAATTGTTGAAGCTGTGCTCAAATCAGGTGATATGCTTGTTGAAGCTGAGCTCAGACAAGGAGGGATATTTGAAGGCTTGCTCAAATCAGGAGGCGTGCCTCTTGAAGAAATGCTTAAGCCAGGAAGTACCTGTTCCGTAGTTGTACTTAAATAGGGAAGTGCAGGAGATGAAGATGCGTTGAAGCTAGCAGATAAATGTGAGGAAATTGCACTTCTTAAAGGACTTTCATCACGACACTTTTTGGGGGAAATGCAGCTTTCAACTTTTGGGTTCACCTCAGAAAAATAATTCTGTGAATGAAGTGAAAACTCTTTTAATGAACTTAGTGCATCACTGACAGAACTGCTAACCAAGAATGAATTATGTCCAGAACTGGTAGAAACATTATGAGGTGGCATTCTGTTTAACATAGGTTCCTGCAATGCAGGTATATTAAAATTAGCTGTGTTATTTTTACAAGCTGTACCTCCTAGATGTGAATACTCATCTAGAACCTGTTTTTCTGCATTAATATATGGCTTATTAGGGGATAAAAACTTATCCCTACCATCAAATGATGCAGTTTCAACTTGAGTTCTTGGAAATTGTCTTTTATTGTTAAACTGTTCAGCATTTGATGAAAATGAGACCTTACAACTAGGAGAAAATTGTGGTGTCGAGAAACTCATTTTATCAGTAGATTCAATGCTCTGAGTAGAACATTGATATGAGGAAAATTGATTATTTACACCAGTCAAATGATTAGCAGTTGACACATTATACTGAGACCTTGATGAAATTCCATAGTTTTCACAGTTATTTTGTTCACTCAAAAAACTTGTGCTCCCTGAAATACAAGACGATGGTTCTCTTAAGAAATCTCTTTCAAATGATTCAGACTTAACTACTTGAGGACTAGGTATATTATCATATAGCATTTCTTGCTGCGGTGAACTATATGAACTAGCAATAGCACTTAAAGATGTACAGGATTTAGAAGATGGAAAAACACCTTGGTTGTTTTCATTTCTGGGACCTTCACAGTAGGAAGCAAATTTCTTTTCAGCCACAAATGGATTATTAGACTGTGGATAATTCTGTTTCATTCGACTGGACTGTAATCTCATGTCACTAGATCCTGAATATGTCCCAGTTTCTGGGAAAATCTGTTTTTCTGGAAAAACATCATTAGAAATATTCCGTGGGAGAATTTCATCTTTACCTAAAGTAAATTGCCCCATTGAAAAATTAGAAGAGTGATTTTGATTAAAGGCTCTGTTTTTATGCTCTGTAGATAAAGTGTTCATTGACATAACTGAATCTCGTTGCATCCGATTTTTATCATAACTGCCATAATTAGATTCATACTGCTGAGCAGTAAGGAATCTCTGATCTTCAAATATTCCTTGATGATTTACTGGTTGATTCTGTTGCCTTAAAAGATTGCTTTGGTTATAATTTTGCTTTAAACCTATCTGCAAACTTTCATTTTGAGAAAATGAGCACTGCTGACTTGTCTGCAATCTTTGTTCATTATAACTGAAATATTCTGCATTATGCTGTTGATACGAACTTTGGGGCAATAAAGAAGACCTGTTCTGAGCATGGATTCTACTCTGTGCATTATATGCTGGAAGACGTGGTGTATTTGTTGAACCATGAAGCACAGGAAAGGAATTATAATTATCCATGTTCAAATTCTAGAAGAAAAGAAATGAAAAATATAACACCAAATAAAAAATAGCACTAACAGAAAAAATAACATTTCTTATGAGAAAAATACTCAGGATTATTTTTACAATTTTATAACTACATATATAAACAACAGAATTCAAATAAAGTTTAGGATAGAACCGCAAACAAGGATGAATTATCTAAAAGCCCTGTAGATATTTTTCTTTAGTAGTCGGGAAAATATCTATACATAATCCTACCACAAAAAGTGGAGAAGGGCAAACGATATTTTACAAAGCAAATTTTTTTAGATAAAGTAATACCAGATTCTAAATTAATAAGCACAGCCTTGTAATATAACATGCAACAGTCTATCAAAATTCAAACTATCAAATATATTTTAAAATAAGAAAGAAAATATACTTAACTGCATACACATATGATATGTAATTTTTTTTAAAAAAAAAAAAAAAGGAGAAGAAACTAAGAAAAACAAAGAAATTATTTATCCGTATATATTCAAGAATATTGTGTATATCCAGGAAACTATGTATACAGCCATAATACAGAGTTTTTCATTCTTATACAAACGCTTCTACTCATTTTCGTGCTTCACTGCAATGCTCGCTTAGTCGCACTTTTAAAAGCTCTGGCGGTGCAGTGTTCCACCTCATGGAACACCCACAGAATTAAAACGGTAAGTGCAATTTTTACAAAATTTTACCTGTATACTCCTTTAGGACTAAATAGACTGCATACAACTTTTTTTGTTGAAATTCCGATGTTAACGTTTAGTGCGACGCAAAGGGTTAAAATGTGTTTTATTGAGATTATGTATTTTTTGTTTGCCTATATTGTAGAATTTGGTGCTCCTTTGACTTTTTAAGTGGCAAAAATCGCCGCTTCGCAAGCCACAATAATGAGTCAAAGAATTGCACAAAAATCGGAATCCATGTACCGCCAAAAATCGCCAAGGGGTACCCTAAACTATACTTTTACCCAGGGAAGCCTTATGGAAAGATATTACTGAAAGGAACAGTCATAAAGTAAGTATGAACAGAACTCTAGACATTTCCCAGAGAGAAAACTGTTGCTATCTTAGAACCTTCTACTGGCAATGATGGCCTTTTAAAATATCTGCACTGAATGAAAGCCCAAGCCAAACTTGCAAATGCAACTTGGATTTGCCCTGCACTAGATCACTCTGGGAGAAATAGCGGAAGACAAGGTGCAAAACAGATTTATAGATTATACTGTGGGTAGCTTTCAGTCTTGTTGTCCTCTTTCATACAGTCAAAAGTCGTTAATTCGGACACCCATAATCCGGACCTCAAAGCTAAAAACTTTCTGCGCATGAGTGGCGTTCACGCACGCGCATGAGCGTTTACGCGTGCGCGTAAGACTTTTACGGCTGCGAATATACATGTGTGCATGCGCATAATACGTTTACGCATGCACAATTAATTTATAACGGACGGTATAAGCTAAAACTATCTAATTATTTATTTCAGTTAATGTTGCAGATTGCGTTGATCCTTAATCTTCGAATTGGATCCGGCTTATTATTTTTTGCAGACTGTTAGAGCAATTTTATAAAAGTAAGCTTGAACTTCCGATTATGTCAAATAGAATTTCCGATATATATTTATTAATACGTAAAGGATCTACAAAGCGAAAGTATTTTTCGAAATCCATTAAACAGAAAGTGGAATTGCTGCAAAAAATAGATAAAGGCATATATCCTTTGATTATCTAATCATTTCGAAATATGTTTATCAATTTCACGCTGCTGTGAGGGGGGAGGGAAACGACACCGCGCGCAGTGAATTGGAAGTTGATCTGTCAGCACTATCCTTATCTTCAGAGTAGATGTTTTTATTTTATTTTGTTTATAATTCTTTACTAAATGTAGTATTTCATCTCGATGTATTCTGTCTTTGATATGATTTAAATCAAGTTCCTTGTCATTATAATTCGCTTCCGAGAGTGAAGAAAGTGACTCAGAGGTTATTCAAAACGAAAAAATTTCTATTGACAAATTAGTCGGTACTCTCGACACAGCAATTATAGGACTTGAACAGCGGAACTTTGTAACTAAACAAGAAATTATGTCTGTTTAATAGAATTAAAGAGAAAGTATTATCGCATGAAACGGAGCAAATTAAACAACTTACATTGAACGAAATGTTTAATAATGTAAACAAATAAATATTTAGCTTTTTCTTTTTGTAAATTTTGATACCCTTTCGATCATAATTGCTCTTTATTTCATAAATTACGTTTTGATATTTTTAATTTTATAATTTCTGCATGCTATCTTACCAGATTTAAACTGATGATCTATAATCCGGAATCGCCGAAGTCCCGAAGAGTCCGGATTAACGACTTTTGACTGTATTTGTTTGTTCAGTCTACAAACAAATATGAAATTGTCTTGTTAAAAAAAAACTTGCTTTTGTAATCTGCCATTGGAATTTTTTTTAATGTACCTAACTACTCAAAATAAAGAAGAAAAGCTTCATTTGGCTATTAAAAATGCCTTTTGGATCCCAGTTTTCTTATATACATATTTTTACATATTACTTTTCACCTAAGTTAATAATAAATAAAATATTTTTATATATTACTTTTCACCTAATGCTTGTTCCAAGTAACTGGTTTTCTGGCCAAAGATCCACTCCCATACATACTATTTGATGAGGAGTCTATTCTAAATATATTACAGATTAGATTTTTAAAAAAAAAATTTAAGAATGTATTGCATTTCTTACTCTCATTGATACTTTCAGATTAACTGCAAAATCATGAAAATTTGCCAACTCGCTGATAAATTCATGTTAACAAAAAGTGTTGGCTGGTAGTCTAATTTTATAGCTCATAGGTACTATTCTGTTTATATAAATAATAATAAAAAAAGCATTGGTAACGTCCTAGTATGCAGTACAACCTTGCCCACGATTTTGAAAATTACCACCAATGCCAAAATGACTCATTTACTGCTCATCATATACACAGCATTTACTGAGTATCATAATGTTGCCAAATCCTGTGTGTACTGTATACTAGGATTAAACTGAAGCATTTTGTAAGAAGTAAATTTTATGAGGGGGGGGAACAGCAATCTTGTTTGTCAGTGTTTATACAACCAATGGATACATTTGGCAAACTGAGTTAAATAAAAACTTATATGTATGTACAGTACATGCACGTATGAGTTGACTGTTGCAGGGGTATTTTCAAAAATGTATGAAAAACTTAGCAATTCTACCATACATTGAAGCCAGAGGTGCAGATAATCAGCAAATGCCATTTTGTTAATTCATAAATGAAAAATGTTAAGACTATGAGCCTATAAAAACAAAATTCACAAATACTCAAAAGTTTGATAAAAGTACTCAAAAATTAACATATTTTCTGATAGTTTTAAATGATATAGAAGCCAATTTTAAATATGGAATCATATTCAACTTATTGAAGCATATGCTTTTGTGAATGTCACCTACTAATATTTAAGCACAATAAATTGCAATATATAAGTAAAATAATGTATATGTAACCTGAGTTTTCCTACCAATACTGAACTTTCATGTATCTTGAAATTTTCACTTGAAGTTGTAAATAGTTTGTGATAGAAAAGACGCTGAAAATCACTGTAATATTATTAGAAATGCAGCTTATAATAATATGACCAATATGCTTAAAAGTAAATTTACTCATGATTATGATCCACAACAATCTTTACTTAAATAAAAAAATTCTACATATAAGAGAATTTTCTTATGGTCCCACACTCATATGAAAATTGTACGCTTGGTACTTTCTTACTATCTGCAACTCCACCAAAAAACCACGAAAAAGTACTGATGAGACAATGAACAATGCTGCCAAGGAGTACTTAAGTGGCAACCGACAATTTAGAGAAAAAAAATTTATGTAGGAAGCTAGATATGCTCATAGCACCTGCCCAGACAGTCTTCAACTTCTACAGACATTTTTCCCAGTGCGACTTCAGATTATGATCTCTCCTTTGAGTTTCAATGTTTTTAGCCTCACGGTGGTTCACAAGGTGCAGTTTTGTTGCCTTCAGCGAAATCTCAGATTAGTCCTCTCCATGTATAAGGTAACAGAGGATCATGTGGCTCACTTCAAGGCATCATACACCTCTATTTTTCTTCTTAGTTTAGGAATTTGATGCTAAGGTTGTGCATAATGCCAAGTTCATGCAATACTGATTTTTTTACTGTAAACAGATCACTGGGTAAATAGTGAGAACAGTGCAAAGGAAAAAAATAGGCAGCATAAGATGCATAACTGATATAGATGTAAAGACACAAAACAAATGTTTTTCTTCAGTGGCAATGATTTCGCAAATGCTCTCTAAAATCACCAACAAGTTCACAATTTTTTGGTGGAAATAAGGATAATTAGAAACTACTATTATAGTTTTCTTAGTATTATAGTTATTAGTATTCTTAGTATTATAGTTATTAGTATTTCTTAGTATTATAGTTATATTAGTATTATAGTTAAACTATAATATAAACTTCATATTATAGTTTCTAAGAGACATACAGAGTAAAAAACAGTTAATGATAATAATTTTAACCCTCTGAGCACCATGACCAGCTTTATCCGGTCACGAGATTTTTCAATTTTTGTTATATATTAGCTTAAAATTTAAGATATTTTGCTTCTGTACTTTCATTAATAAAATAAATGTCATCTTGATAAATGTAAGTTTATGAAAATAGAGACTAAAATTGGTAAATATACACATTCAGCTAATAAAGGCCCTTTAAATACACTTCTTCATCACAGATATAAAAACCCGGGGTGCTCAGAGTGTTAAATAAATCCAAAACATGTATTATTACAAAAAGAAACGCATGCCTGCCTTACAGAGGAAAAATTTCTATGTTTGCATTGGGTTAGTTTCATTTCTGTAAAATTTTTACAATTCCTAATAAACTTATGTTAAACTCTGAGTTCCTTCAATATGAATTATATCCAAATTACTCCATTTCTTTATTCTGCTAAATTATTAACATAATACTGCCATATATTTGAATCTACACAACAATTCTATTATTACACTTCCCATATAGTACTGAATAAATTAGTATTGCACAATGTAGTTTTGCTATTTGCAAAATGCTCAACATTCATGAAATTTTTGTCTATTAATTAACCCTCGTACATTTAATCTTACGATTATATTAATAATGAAACTATTATAAATGAATCTGTATATGAGAAATTAATTACATCTTTATCTACGAATCTAAGCTCTTATTCAACCTTGCATATGAAGGAAACACTTCAAATATTGTGAGTAGACCCATAAGTCCAGAGGCTACAATTTTTACCTTAAATAATAATTTAAACGACAGCTTTACCAAGCGAAATGTTAATGATACATACCCAAACAAGAAATAAACCAATAAAGGGATAAACTGTATTATCACAAACAACTGCTTTTATTTAATAACTTAATGTCAATTCAAATAAAATTAGAACGGACTTATAATATAAGTCCTTACACCTTAAAAATAAAACCTCACTCGTAAACATTTTTTTAATAAAGTACAGTAAACACAAACACTTAACACGACACAAATCAATCACACCAAGTAGCGATACGCTTAATTGATGCCACTTATAGGAAGAGAAATATTCTCATTTAAAAAATGACTAACAGATATGGCTGTACCAGTACATTTATAGCTAGCTATTTTACCTTGCCAAGGATCAAAGAAGGGTTCAATTACTAGGGTTGATGCCTTTATCCCCACATCATTAAAGATTAAATAATTATCACCAAAAGAAGGTTCGCCAAAGAGGTAAAATTTAGTGTCGAATCGTCAAAATAAAAAAGGGTAAACTGCCTTCCACAGTGAAAAAAAAAAAAAACACCGAAGGACTTAATTTTATAATTTTGAGATCGAATAAAGGGCCAGAATCAATTCTGAAGGGTTACATCATAAATTTTGAAAAGATGCAATATTTCCTTGATCAATGATCTTGTGGTGTTAACAACACGAGAAAAGAACCACTCTCGAAAGGTCATTCATGTCGCAAGTGATTCGGGTCTGGAGAGAAAAGGGAGCGAAGAACTCGCTAGCGAGTTAGATTTAAAGAGACAGGGCCAGAACTGCCTCTGAGGAGAACATGAGATAAATAAATTAATAGTTTTAGCTTTAAGTGTTATGATATAATAGTAATAAATGAAAGAAATTCTCTTAAAGAGACTGAGTTTAAGTAAAATATGTGTGCAGTGGCGTAGCTAGGGTGGGGTAAAAGGGGACACCTGTCCCCCGGGCGCAGCATTCAAGGGGCGCCAAATTGATGCTACGAAATGTTTTAATGAAATGTTTTCCATTCTTGGCACACAGAAAGTGGCGAAAATATTTCAGTTGTGCCCGGGCGCTGGAAACTCTAGCTACGCCCCTGTATGTGTGCACAAGAACCCTTTTAGCAGGGAACAAAGAGGTGCTAACTCTTAAGTTACAACCGCTTACGGTTGAAAGAAATAATATTTGCCCGATTACGGAACAAAGAGAGTGACCCTGAGCGAAGATGAAAGAACAGCGAATTCGCTCAGGCGGGGGGGTCAGTGAACGAGTTGACTGATAGCTTCGATGCGCCTTGTCTCCATAGCAATGGAAATAGTAACGGAATAGCAATGGAAATAGTAAAGCATTACATGCGCTTTCCAAAGTGGCTCTGGGTCCTTTTCTAGATGACGCAATTCCAATGATAAATAGGCAATGAATGGAGAACGGGGTACCGATCGAAGAAATCTTTTTGAAAAAGTTAACCGAAAGTCGTTGTATAAAGCAATTTAAGGGGAAAATTTTAGCTGCATTATGAATATCCTCGTTCGTAACAAACCAAAGAGCTTTGTAGATTTACCGAAGCCTAATATTTTGGAAAATTTGGATATGTTTCCTCTTAGTAATTGCTGCTGCGCCCCATACGAGACTTGCATATGTCAGAATAGGCCTTATCATTGATTTATAGAGCTAGACCTTGTTTTCCGTGGGCAGACTGCTTTTTCTAGCGAAAAAAGGCTGTAATTGGAATTTGACAACCTTCGCACTGGAAATTGTTTTTTGAATGGGAAGTTGCCAAATTAATTTTGAATCAAGTATCACTCCTAGATACTTATAAGTAGTAACAGGGAATTATTTCTCCAAAGAACTGCAAGTTAGGTAAATTTGGGAAAGTACTTCGGATAAATAAAGTGGCAGCACATTTTGCGACATTAATTTTGGTCTTCCACAGTCCGAGCCAGAGCTCTAGAAAGATAATTCTGCAGTGCAGAGTTTACCGTGGTGGTGCTGGAATGTTGAGAGATGATGGCTGTGTCGTCCGCATATAAAACTAATTCGACATTAGGTAATTTAGGAATATGTTGAACATTTGAAGTGAAAGTAAACTTCCCTGAGGGCCGCCGGCATAGATTGCTTTTTTATGTTCATAGAACGTTCGAGCTGCAAGCAATTCGAGTATGTGTGTGTGTTTATGGCAAAGCCTTGAGGGCTATCTGCCTAAGGGGAGGGATGCCTTCGTGGAGGACTTTCTAAGGAACTGGCTTGTATACACGTTACACACGGGAAAAACCACGAAAACGCCCATGCAGCCAGCCCGTTCGCGGGATTCGAACCTCGGACCGAACTACCAGTGTTCAGCGACTTTACCGCTCGGCCTCTGGTGGGCCGCAAACAATTCGAATCCACCATTTATAGCGCACACCTTGGAAATGCGTTGGGGACAGCTCTCCAGACTGTTTATAAGCTGAAAGTAATTATATTAGCTTATTTCGCAATTTATTAGTTTTTTCCAGTGTTTTTATTTATTTTCCTGTACCCTGCCCATAAATAATGCCATATATTTAGGATTACTTTAAGAATGATAATTAAAAGTAATTGGATAAAATTTTCAATTAAAACCGATGTATTAATTTATAAGTCAAACAACAAAAATCAGCGTTATATTTTCAAACTTTCACAGGACTAGTTTCCATGGTTTTACCGAACCATCATCCTCAGCTCCTTGTTTGGCGTGTTACTGTATCTTAATTAAAAATGATGTAATTTTATACGTACATATACCGATAAATCAGTTCAGAATACATATATTCTTTTTCCGAAAAATTTATTGATAGAGTAAAATTAAGAAATAAATAAATGTACACGTGTTTTATTCAAATGTACATGTTTTATTTAGACATCATACAATGATGATTGAAAATAAGTATTCTGAACATAAAATATGAAATGATATTTTCATATTTAGTATATACATAAAAAAAGAATTTAAATCATTTGTGAGCTCACATGTTATCAAATTTTATTTCATATATATGCATATGTATGTACACAAACAAGTACTAATAAGTCTTTATTGTGAAGACATTGAGAAAAGTCTTTACTTACAAGCATTTTTTTAATAATTTTTATTTCTCAAACATTATTAAAATTAGGTATACATGGTGAAATAAACTAAACCAAGGACATGTGCAAAATTGGAGACTCAAACTTGATGTAAAAACAAAGTATGTGTTTTATTTTTAGTTGCCAAATCAGAAATATATAAATATGGATATTTCAATAATAAACTTGTTTCTTTCTGCTCAGGTTTCACATCATGCATCAAATTTGAAAATGATGCCAGTTCAGCTCAGTTTCATACAATGGATGGCATTTTTATGCTAGGCACATTGGACAGTCCACTGAATTCACTGGATTTTCTCACATTTGTGGCAAGAATATTGATGTGAATCTTCTTTTTCATAATTGATATCCCATCTGTTCAACCATTCAGCTACACTTAGCTCGTGAAACTTCGTTTTGATTATCCTAACCGGAGTTTTCATGTCAAAGTCGATACTGAGAAGTAAATTCAACTGAGAGGTACTGCATCACCAGCTTTGCATTTTTTGCTAATTTTGTGATTTATTTCTTAGATGAACCTACGCACGATATGCACCCAAGATGATGGTAATACATCTCAAATCTTGCAGAACAATGCTACAAATATGTCAAATTTTTTATTTAAATTATAAAAAAGTAAAGATAGGACAAATGTTAAATTTCCTAAGATTTTAATCCTAATTCTGAAAGAGTTACCGATTTTTTTATCAGATTTCTGGAATCCTTCAAATAAGATTCCTTCGAATAAGGGTTTTGATAATTTAGGTCTTTTTGCAAGATATAGGATATTTTTATAAAGATTACTTTGCTTTGTAACCATGAATAAAATTTTTTTGCAATCTGCATCACACCAGCAGAAAATTACATATTTTTTCATTCGGAAGTTAAGTAAAAGGTAAACTTATCAATATATATTTTTGTTATTCATTTTTAGTATTATTATGATTGTTTGTCCATGAAGTCGGTTAGATGGTACTTTGGGTGGTGCAGACCGCCTTAGCTGTCTCGAGGCAATTTACTTCATAGAAGTCTTCCTGGAGGTAATCACTAATTTGCTGCATTGCAGCCAAAATGGCGGGGCAGCAGAAAATGTGGTCTGGTCCAAGTTCGATTCCAGGACAGTTTCTGCAGAGAGTGTAGGTTCTCGTCTTGTCCGGTAAGATTTTCATTCCTCTGAAATGGCCAGTTCTATGTCTTACGAAGATTTTAGAAGTAATCCTGTTGGCGTTGAGTTCGCATAGCTGAAATTCCTGCCTGGTGGTTGGATTTCTTAGTTTTGACTGAGCAACAGAATTCATATCATCAAATGAGGTGGGACGATGAGATTATTCATTTAATTGTGTCGCTGCTTTGTCCAGGGTCAGCAGCTTCATTGCCTTCTATGCCGACGTGGGCTGATATCCATTGCATTATACAGTGTTTATTTAGTTGATCGATGTGGGCAGGCCATTATGTATTCGGCAGGAACGTTCCTAGGCCATTGGCTTCCGGCGTACTTTCCTAAGACTGCCGCCCCCAAATTAAAAAAAAATGCTCAATGATTAATAAAACTTTGAGATTCCGGCCGCCCGCGTACTTTTACGCGCTGGACCTCCGCTAGGAACAGCCTTGGTATTCGGGAACCTTAAACCTGTATCGAGTGTCGGTTGGGGAATGCTCCCACTGGATTTCCAATGGGTGGTAAAAGCAAAATAAAGTACCTTTCGCAGACCAACAGGCAGACGCCCAACCTCTCGAGGCAAGAGGCAATGGCAACCCATTTTCCATGAACAGTGTAAAAGATTGTAGTATTTTTATATTATTATTGATAAAATGATAATTCATAGTTATAAATGGTAACTCGAAGGAAGAACCAGAACACTGATATTTATACTAAGTAATTTATCGTCTAAAATTATTAACGTATAGCGGATATGAAAAAGAACAACAAAAAAATTTAATAACTGCACGTAATAATAATTATAATTAAATCTTAACATGTTTTTAATTAGATATTACTCATACATTTTAGTAAAGCTGACAATTTAAATCAAATCACACTCCCTCATTTGTTTTTTCGCGATCCACTAGCTCAAAAGGGACCTTAGACCCGAATGGGATATTAGTCTCGAAACGGCCTTTTACGTTGAATCACTATAAACGATGTATCACTTTTCAGATGGTTGCCACCAAATACAATCGCCCTATATTATATTTGAAA